CAGTTGTCAGTGACTAGTTGGATATTCATTTCAGTGTGCAAACAATTTCTGTACGTACAGCATTCATATAAATTCATTTGATCAGGTTTTTTGTTTTGGCTGACCTTATTGTCCCCAACGATGAAATCCGGGAGGGGACTGTGGATCACTCTCCGTCCGTCCAGCCGTTTGTCTGTACGTTAGTCACACGCGATCTCGACAGCACTGGCCCGATGTTGACGAAACTTGGGTGAATGATGCGGCTTGCCAGAGATCCGGCATTTACAAAATTAGACTGATTTGCCCAAGGCGGGAGCTATAGTAATTAACTGAAATTTGTGAGTCACACCAGAGAGGAAGAGGTGAAGCGAGAGGGATAAGTGGGCCCAAAATCTCTTCTCCAGCAGGTGGTGTTTTTCTTTGGCACATGACATGAGTACAGGGAGTGGATTAGCTAAAGAGAGGTACCCAGGCTAACTGCCTTCCAACCTTGACACTTGTCAATAAAACTCATGAATGCAACTGTTTATTTAAAATTGTTTAGTGTTGTACTTGTATTCCTGGTTTCCATCGCATTTTCAACACTAGCGATAGTTTTGTAACAAAAACTGTTGCGTTAAATAGCAAATGTGCCTACTCTGGTTTTGGAGCAGTGGCTTCTTCCTTGCTGAGCGGCCTTTCAGGTTATGTCGATATAGGACTTGTTTTACTGTGGATATTGATACTTTCGTACCAGTTTCCTCCAGCATCTTCACAAGGTCCTTTGCTGTTGTTCTGGGATTGATTTGCACTTTTCGCACCAAAGTACGTTCATCTCTAGGAGACAGAACGTGTCTCCTTCCTGAGCGGTATGACGGCTGAGTGGTCCCAAGGTGTTTATACTTGCGTACTATTGTTTGTACAGATGAACGTGGTACCTTCAGGCGTTTGGAAATTGCTCCCAAGGATGAACCAGACTTGTGGAGGTCTACAATTTGTTTACTGAGGTCTTGGCTGATTTCTTTTGATTTTCCCATGATGTCAAGCAAAGAGGCACTGAGTTTGAAGGCAGGCCTTGAAATACATCCACAGGTACACCTCCAATTGACTCAAATGATGTCAATTAGCCTATCAGAAGCTTCTAAAGCCATGACATCATTTTCTGGAATTTTCCAAGCTGTTTAAAGGCACAGTCAACTTAGTGTATGTAAACTTCTGACCCACTGGAATTGTGATACAGTGAATTATAAGTGAAATTATCTGTCTGTAAACAATTGTTGGAAAAATTACTTGTGTCATGCACAAAGTAGATGTCCTAACCGACTTGCCAAAACTATAGTTTGTTAACAAGAAATGTGTGGAGTGTTTGAAAAACGAGTTTTAATTACTCCAATCTAAGTGTATGTAAACTTCCGACTTCAACTGTACCTACACGTACGCTATGGTCACAAGACACAGGCCTCCTTATTGTTCCTAGAATTTCGAAGCAAACAGCTGGAGGCAGGGCTTTCTGCTATAGAGCTCAATTTCTGGAATGGTCTACCGATCCATGTGAGAGACGCAGACTCGGTCTCAACCTTTAAGTCTTTACTGAACACTCATCTCTTCAGTAGGTCCTATGATTGAGTGTACTCTGGCCCAGGGATGCGAAGGTGAACCGCAAGGCACTGGAGTAACGAACCACCCTTGCTGTCTCTGTAGTAAGTTCGTGGTCTGTTGATATCCCTTTGGTGGTGGTTTGCTTTGACAAAGTGGGTGGGTTATACCCAGCCTGGTTGGCCCTGTCCGGAGGTAACTTTGGACGGGGCCACAGAGTCCCCTTACCCCCCCTGTCTCAGTCTCCAGTATCTATGCTGCAATAGTCTATATGCCAGAAAGCTAGGGTCAGTCTGTCCTATCTGGTGTAATTCTCCTGTCTTATCTGGTGTCCTGTGTGATCTGTCCTGTATGCTCCCTCTAAATCCCCCCCCCCCCCCCTTTCCACCCTCTCTCTCCAGCACCTGCTGTCCTCGACATCTGAATGTTCTGCTAGGTAAAGCCAACTGACATTTATTCCTGAGGTGCTGACCTTTTGCACCCTCTATAACCACTGTGATTATTATTTGACCCTGCTGGTCATCTATGAACATCTTGAAGAACGATCTGGCCTTAATGGCCATGTAGTCTTATAACCTCCACCCTGCACAGCCAGAAGAGGACAGGACACCCCTCAGAGCCTAGTTCCTCTCTAGGTTTCTACCTTTCTAGGGAGTTTTTCCTAGCCACCGTGCTTCTACATCTGCATTGCTTGCCCTTTGGGGTTTTAGGCTGGGTTTCTGTATAAGCACTTTGTGACAACTGCTGATGTAAAAAGGGCTTAATAAATAAATGTAATTGATTGACTGAGATAAGGTAGGCTGTATTTAGTTTCATGATGACTCTCTGCAGCAGGGTCATTCAGACTGCCACTGTAATTACAGTACAGCTCATACTGAGCTACCTGTTTACGTCACACTATGCTGCCTCTCCAATCCCTGCCCAATATGAAAAACGAATCTGTTTACATAAACGTTCCTGAGAACGGAGGAATGTTGATGTCAGTGATAAGCGGTAAACCAACATGCTTAGTGTGAAGATGGGGTCAGGACAGGAGTGACACTGTAATGTCTGTCAGTGGGCCAAGCCAAGGATCAGTCACTGGGACGGTCAGTCAGAGGACAGAGGAAGCCTCTAGGCTAGCCCTCTATCTACTGTAAACTGCTCTGTCATTAGAACAGCCTTTTCACAGCCCCACAACCTTTAAATCAACTGATCATCTTTGATGTGCCTTTGAATCACGCTGACAGTGTGTGAATGGAAGTATAACAAAACATTCCCAGACATTTAAAAGATGTTGCCAAGACTAGAACTGAGACAAGAACTCCTGGGGGACAAAGGTTGTGTTTTGTGGTATTTGGTAAAGCAGAGCCACAGCTGCAGTTAGAGAAAAAACAGAGCACCTGACTTCCACCACAATCAGGTTGTTGCGTAACATAGTGAAAAAGGACATTTACATCAGAAACAATTGCAGTGTTTTTAATGAGCTAAGCTTTGTCAGTAATGACCTTTTCCTGGGCTGAACCTTTGCATTATATAATGTAACTTGCTTCTGGCTTAATAGATAACCCCAAAGAACAGGAAGTGGCACAGCGTCTCAAACAGAGCAGAAACAAGGTAAACAGATGCCGAGCCAAGAGCTCAAATTCATGAGTTTAGAAAATAAAAGTGGATATAAATCATAAGATATACTGATTGCAGTTATTCACCATAAAACACTGAGGTTGTGCAGTGAAAAGATGTGGGGGTTGATATGATATAAACAACCCTTCGTACAGCATGTTCTCTCTGTAGTGCAACTGTACTGTACTAAGCCACAACATACACCGGATGGAGCAGTCCTGTCAGCCCTAACAGGGCAGACCAGCTGTGGCGGTAGGCCAGGCAGCAGAAGGGACCAAGCGCAGCAACGCCTAATGACACTAAGGGCCTAGTTCAGAGAGCAGCCAGTCAGCCACAGCTAAGCAGGAAGTCACAGTGGTAGCAGGCCCAGGGGAGAGAGGAGAGAAGAGATGGGAGGAGGAGCTAGAGTACCGCTTGTCCTGTGTCACAAGCCAGAATGCACCACATATCAGACTGAGAAGACTAGTACATCCAAAATAGATAACCTTCCCAGGCAGCCACACCAAGGCATGCTGTCATGTGCATGCTCTTAAACCTAAAACCCATAGAGCATGATGGGGCCTCTTTGACAGATGACCCTGAGAGACAGACAGCTGGTGGCGTGGTGAGAGAGAGGCAGACTATGGGAGGCGCATAGTACTACATAGAGTCATGGCTACATGGAACTCTATTCCACATCAGGTAACTGATGCAAGCAGTAGAATCAGATTTAAAAAACAGATGCAAATACACCTTATGAATCAGCATGGACTGTGAAGAGACACGCAGGCACAGACACATGATAAGACACGCACATAGACATGGATTTTGTGTTGTAGATATGTGGTAGTAGAGTAGTGGTCTGAGGGAACACACTTAATGTGTTGTGAAAAGTGTTATGAAATGTAATGTCATGTAATATTTTAAATAGTATATAACTGCCTTAATGTTGCTGGACCCCAGGAAGAGTAATGGGGATCCTTAATAAATATATAAATATCATGGTTAAACATTGATTGTGTTTTGGGCCTGACTTCCTGTTAGAACACTGGGCCCCAACCACCACCACTCTGTCTGAAGCCATGTGATCTGATCTATTCACTGAACTGGGATTATAAGAATGCTGACTTCCTGCCAAGTCACAAGATACTGTATATGTATGACATTGTGGTTTGGTGTATTGCCTATGACTTTTGCAACCATCTACAGAACTACTGCTGCATCAGTACAGTACATCTACGCAGTGGTGATCGGTGACTGAAATCAAGAATGATGGGTATTACAGCAGGGCAAGTGGAAAAGCTAATATATGGTATTGCACTTAACAGAGAGTCACTTCAGTCTAGGTGCCTGCAAAAATACTAAAGGCAAAAAGTTACTAAATAAATCGTACTATTTTACAGTCTCATACTCTAGAATAAATATGATATTGTGTTATCTGCTGCCATGACTAATTAGGTTGGGTGAACAGAAATACTGCAGACTAAATAAAAATCAGACAAGGGTTGTCCTGGGTTTCCAAAATAAAAGGTGGATAAACAATGATCTCACAAACAAAACACTAGAACATGACATAATACAGTGCCCAGGGACACTGTAATACAGTGTATAAAGATATATTGTATGAGATGAGATAGGGTGGTTTGGCTGCATAGAAA